ATAGAAATATATCATTGTTTTCAGGAGGGGTTATAGCTTGTGGCACAGGTTTTTTTGTAAGAATAGCAGAAGGTAATGGTTGATTATCTGTTTTTTTACAATTTTTATCATTAGCATCTCCGCAGTTGTTTTCATTTATTGAATTCTTGGTGGACTTTATTGCCAGACTAACCAAATATTTTCCTCTCGAATAACTGGCCATTTTGATGTTTGTGAGGATATTATAATATCAACTGAAATAATAAAAAACAAAGTATCATTCAGTATTCACTTACAGGCCTATTTTGATAATAATAATATGATATAAATACGACCTTAAGACAAATATACCGTTATTCTAAAAACGCGAATATACGAATAATAACCAAATAATTTTTTCAAGGCTTAGTTACAAAATCGCGTATGTCAAAATTTACTTTATTTTAACGAACTTTTGTATGGACATAATATCAAAAATTCATTACAATGATGCAATATGCATTGCAGGCCACAGCATTACAGATTAGGAGAGAATTTACTAAAAAATATTAAGTCGTCAACGTAAAAAGTTCTGTTGTACAAAGGACGTCCTATCATAAAGCAACTAATATGTATGCAAAAAGTTATTTAAACCATCCTTGGTGTGGTTTAGCTATGTAATAGTGTTCGTAAGACATTTAGGTAAATTGCGAAAGAATTATTACATTACCTCTGGCACTCTGGCATAGTTTGTTTGCTGCACATTTTGTCCTGACAAAAAAAGTTTGAGGTACGTGATTTTGGAAGACCCAATTTTACACCAATCAATATACGCCAATTTGTCACATGTTTGAAAAGACAACTTTTTATTGGCTTAGAACCACCAAATCCATATAAAAATGTGCGGAATATACTGCTGATTCCAAATAATCGAAAAAGTGATTTTAGTGAAAATGGCCATATACGCGGTTTTGTAAGCCCACCGACGATAATTTCTACAGTGAAAGGGAGGTAACTACAAAATTCAAACACATTAATCAGGTTTCTTGTATCATTCTTGCTATAGGTCTCACGAGAAAGATTTGCAACAAGAACTTAGGCCTACAACGTTCTGCCCAATGCAATGAACTGAATCACCAACAGTATTAACTTTAACCCTATCCTTTATTTGTCTATGAAAATGAATTCGACAACATTTGTATAAGGCTTAAATTTATAAATTATGTAAAACATTTTCATCAGTAATATATAAAAATGTCACTTTGTTAATTCTTAATCAAACTTGATAACAGACTATGTCGAAAATATTCAATTCGCGCTAAATATTGTGTTTCAAGGGTTAAGAAGAATATTTTGACAGAAGCGTCCTTGACATTTTTGTGTTTCCGGTAACATCACGTGACCCGTGTTGCTATTTTAATCGAAACGATCGTGGAAAGTGGAAATGGTGATAATTGCCAATATTTTATGGATTTACGCGTAATTTATTCTATGATCACAGGTATGTTTTGTCAGTCATTCGGTTGAATATGTCTTGTACCTACCTATGCACCAAGAATAACAGGTGCGCTTAGCGATCGGCAATAAAGTTGATTCATTCATTCAGAATTCAGTGGCTGCAGTAAAAGAAGAATCAATAATTTTATGACTTAGTAATGAAGTAGAGAAAACGTCAGAGTTTCGACCTTGGAGACAGTCAATGTGCTTCCATATGATGCAAAATGGATAGAAAATAAGTTTAACTATAGATCTGATTTCTAATATATGGAAAATCTGTAAAATTGTCACTGTATTCAAGGTTTTGATTATGAAACAGACTATCCTAGCCAAGGTCTTAACCAACTGTGTATATTGAATTGATTATTATATCTGGACATGGCTTGAGACCAGTATGTGAACATGTTTTGCTCACTGTACATAATTAATTAATATATTCATCAGTGACAATTGTACCATATGGGTTACACTCAGTGACCCTTAAACAATTTTTATTGACATCCCAGATTTTTCAGCCAGGTGATATGTTGTTTTATTGTTTTTTTGATTATTCTAAGTAGAATGACATGAATGTTTGAATATTTTTGAAGGTTACTGTAAAATATCTGATTTCAGCAGCTCTATTAAATGTTGCAGTAACTATGATGTTATAAGTTATTATCCATTAGATATATATAGTCTTGAGCATAGAATTGTATACTGTCAGTATACAATTCTATGGTCTGAGAAACACTGGCCCTATCTACAGGCTCTGACAGATAATTTTGACGGATGATTGTCTGGAGATTGTCAGAGAGAAATGTAATTCTTTGTGGAAGACAGATCATCCTTTGAGATGCAGAACCTCTCATGTGTTCATTTCTTTTTATATATTCAAAACCAATGTATTCTTATACTATCAAATGATACCATCAGCCACATTGCTTTGATGACAGATTGGGAGACTATCTCAACATGTTAAACTTTGAAAGTTTCAATTTTCATTCAGTTACTACTTGACTGTTTTCCACAAAAATAGTAAATTTCTCCTGACCCTCTCTCAAGTGACAAGTCATCAAAATCATCTATAGAAGCCTGTAGATAGCGTATGATTTCCTTGGACTATTTATTCTCAAAGTTATCATTCACTTTACAATATGATAACATAGAGTCAATTATTACGCTCCACCTTCTTGAAATTTGAAAGTTAAAATTTTTCATTCTACAAAAATAGTAAATTTTTCACTAACCCTCATCAGGTGACTATTTATTTATATATGTGATTCACTTTACAATATGATATCATAGAATCATTTATCATGCTCAACCTACTGAAACATTCGATACCAAATCTGTGACTTGTTTTGTCAACTCAGCATTTCTTTCTGAAAGCTTGCATTTATAATTGATATATATTTTGCTTTCTTATTAAGATTCTCTTTTTGATTCAGTGAGCAAGGTTGCAATATAAACTTCCTAGTGAAGATTCAACACATGGTGAATTCTGTTGATTTCTATAATTTAGAAATGGATTTATAGTAGAAGAGGAATAATAAGTGTAGTTGCTAGTCAAGATGTTAGAAACTGTAATAGTCGGTGTATTAAATAAATATTTTGGGAAATATATACAGAATTTAGACTCTAGCCATTTAAGCATCAGTATTTTGAATGGTAAGTGGATATTTTATCAATTCAACTCGAGCATATTTTTAGACTGATCGCTGCAAATTTTTAAAATCGCTCAAAAAATTCACTAGTGTGTCTGCTTAATGTTGACGGTTTTTTACACCAATTAGGAATCACCAACATAAAGAATGTTAGACATTTTCATCCGTTCTTTAAGTATTGTCTGGCGTATTTTAACAAGCGATCGAAACTTTGAAACAAATCTGACGTGATGTTCAAAATGGCTGCCTCGGGTATTTTGTACTGATTACATGATAGAAGGACAAATTCTGCTGAGTGACAATAGGCTCTTGTAGATTTGCTATGTGTGTCCCTTTGTGATCTAGCAAATGAAATTGTTTGTGATTTTAATCGACTTGATCGGGCGAAAAAAAACCCCATTCTTCTGCCCCTAGCATCATTTTAGGTCATTGTCTATAACCATACACTTCGAGGTTAGTCAGTCTGACAATAATTTGATAATGTTTCTTCTATCAAACTTCACCAGTTTATATTGGTATGTTATTTTTTAGGAGATGCAGAATTCAGTGATTTACAGCTTCGACCTGAAGCTTTGGTGAGTTTTATTATTTTTCATTTTTGACGTTAAATTTTGATTGGTTGTTATAGAAACGCGATGCATGAATAAGAATACTAGAAAATCTTTTAAACACTCTAAAGACATTATAGAGAGATTTTCTTCACTTTTTATGACTTCTATTTGCATCATTCCAATTTTCCATCAGATATCTGTAATTATACAAATACTAAACTTCATATGATTTCATATTTGCAAGGCAGCTACAAATATCTAAATGGCTTGCGATTATTATGTGATAAAAAGGCTTAGTTTTAGTGGAACGGCAAGATCACAGAAATCTGACTGATAATTGGATAGTGCACCAAATAGACATAAAAAGCTTACTTAAGATGGAAGGAATTATTTCCTTGAAAATACCCTTTCTTAGGTTTACAAAACTACATTGGACCCACAACCTCAAAACCATGGCTCCCTTAGGTATCAACGAATTCATTTAGCTTTCCTACCGTCACTGGCACACTTTCAAAGTTAAAGAAACCTCTTTACTATTTTATTTACATTAATCAGCCAATTGTGGCATTTGTATATCAGTATAAATGCAAAAGTTACAGATTCGATTGATGGATTGAGAACCATTATCAGTGCCAATTAGCAAATTTTTGAGATTACCTACAGCAAAGAGATATATCAAGTGTTACTTCACAAATAACCTATTTAAAGTCAATTAAGATTTTGCTCTGATTCTGCTATCTGAGATAACTATGAATGTATTCGAGTAATATAGAACTAACAGTAATAATAGCTGTTTATTTATTTATTATTATCTCACAATGTGTCAGCTGTAGAATATTGATCTCATTTGATCTCCTTTCAATATTATTCATGCATTAACAATCAGATTCCTTACATTGTGGTAATTTGTAATAATTGTAATGTATTTCTCCATTAGTTAATACGTAATGAAACTACAAACAATTATGGTGTTTTTCTGACCCAATTGTCTTCTAAGAGACCATGGCCAGTAAGAGACCATTTTGGATTATTCACTTGAGTGGTCTCTTAATACAGTTTCTACTGTACGTAGCTCTTAATGCTGTGTGCAATAAGAGAAAACCATATTACTCTTTTTGGATTGCCAACTTTCAAGGGGTCTTTTAACATTCAAACAACATTTCTATTGTTCAAAATGCATGCCCCTCTGATGTCCGTCATTTCAAGGTGGAAACGTTTGCTTCAATAACTGAGGTCTCCCATGGGTTGACAATCCTGACTTCCACTGGGTTCTTGCCAACGTTGGCATTGATCTTTTCCAAATTGCCAGTACCCATTTACAGTTAGGTAGACTAACACTACCTTACACAATATATATTCTTTCTATGTTCATTCTAAATTTATTCATTTTAGGCTGAACTTGATTTACCTGTCGAGGTTAAGGCTGGCTATATTGGTAAGTACCGTACTGTTAAACTAAACCACTATTGAATGGAAATTTGTAGTCCTTTGTGGTATGATTGGGAAGATAATAAAATGCCAAGCAAGAAATATTTCCCGTGTTATATTCCATCTGTACAGTAAATTGGACAAACTTAAAATTTTTAGTTATGTGTACTTGCTAAAATGAAGTTTAAGCAAACCACAAGAGTTTTGTGTTTTTGACTTTTTATCTCAAACTTAAAACCATGAAATCGGCAGAGTTTTTACCCTGCTGTCATCTCCCCCACCCTTCCAGACTGAAAGCACCTGTTTTGATTTATATCTGAATATGTGATTACAGGACGATTAAAGATAGATATACCTTGGACTAGACTATATAGTGGTGATATACACATCTGGCTTGAAGATCTTTACGTGCTAGTCGGACCTGTAGCAGATAGGCAGTATGATCCAGAGAAAGAACGAAGTATGGCGAATGCCGTCAAAAGACAGAAATTGGAAGCTCTGGAAAAATCTACTCTTGACTCTGTGGGTAAGTTCAAATTTTGAAAGTTGGGAAGGGTTTCATATGGGTTGCCCAATTGTGAGAAAATGTTTAGATGGATAGATGAAAATGTCCAGCATTTTAATTGCCTGAGACACTGGTCAGAATCAAAGACACTCCCTCTCAAACTACAGGTCGACCAATTAATGTGACACGTCACCAATATCCAGTATAGAGAAATGACGCCTACTGACACAATAATCAATAAATCGGGCTTCCCACTTCTGTAGAAACTTCCACATAATATGCTCAGATTTCCACAACACTTGAGAAGTCAGAATCAATGGTTGATGGTGAACACAATGAGCGAATCATATTAATTCACCCCTTTTCTGACCATTCAACCTCATGTTTTTTATTTACCCCAATTCACCCCAGCTGAGAAGTTCTGGTGTAAGACATATTGTAGACTATTGGTTTCTGGGTTTAATATCCCATACGACATGCAAATAGACAAATGAGTGTATTATGTAAGGTCTTGACCAGTTCACAATAATGACAAGAATACTACCGTACCTGAAGGTTTAGATTAGTGCAGGCAAGATATATTGCTGAATCTTTATATCACGATACGTCATGACACAGTATTGCGAGGTCATTTTAATTTTTATCCCATCATCCCATATCGTGATACACAACCTTGTATCACGATACATATCATATCGAGGCATTACTTGCAATACCCAGCACTAGTTTATATGGAGGATTCAATTTCGGTTTAGTAATGTAATCGACAACATTTTTACTGTAATCTGTTGATTATATATACCCTTCTCCAGACAGTAACAAATAATGATCACTGTTTAAAAACTTATCAATACATCAATTGTTGAGCGCTATAGAAATATTGATATTCTTCCCTGTTCCTGATACATATTCTGGATAATCTATTGATCTAGTTTATTGACAGACAGGATTAATAAATTCTTGTAGCTACAAATTGGTGTGAAGCTCAATAAAGGCAGTGATAAAAAGAATAGGAATTTTCTAATTTGAGACAGACAGTTTTTACCCTAAGGCGTTTTGACCTCAGTCTGACTTATTTATTTTTAACTGTTTTCACTCAAATTTACAAAACCATGACAGTGAGTTAATAAGAATGCTTGCCATGTCTGACTAGAGCTTTAAACTGTTGATTTGGTTGTATTTACCAGTCAAGTTTGAGTAGAGCTCTAGACCTTTGAATTAGCTGTATTTATCAGTCAAGTCTGACTAGAGCTCCAGACTGTTGATTTAGATGTACTTAACAGTCAAGTCTGACTAGAGCTCTAGACTGTTGACTTAGCTGTATTTGCCAGTCATGTCCGACTAGAGCTCTAGACTTGATTTAGCTGTTTTAGCCAGTCATGACTGACTAGAGCTCTAGACTGTTGATTTGACTGTATTTACCAGTCATGTCTGACTAGAGCTCTAGACTGTTGATTTGACTGTATTTACCAGTCATGTCCTACTAGAGCTCTAGACTTGATTTAGCTGTTTTAGCCAGTCATGTCTGACTATTTATCTGACAAGTCTGACTAGAGCTCTAGACTGTTGATTTAGCTGTATTTGCCAGTCATGTCTCATTCAGACAAAATACTGTTAATTTGACTGTATTACCAGTCATGCGTGTACCATCGATTTGGTTGCATTTACCAGTCATCTCAGTCACCATTCAATAGCTCCAGATTGCTGATCATATGCTTGTCTAAGTGTTTTTGGAGATTACAAATAATATTCACACCATAGATTTTCTAATTTCAACTTTATTTCAACAGATCCTTTATAATGCCAATTCCATTAAGCCAGTGAAAACTTGTCAATGGTATGGTTATTACTAGTGATGAGAATTCCCATCAGGATGTAAAACTGTCAAGTACCACATACGAGAATAGAATAAAATAGATTAGCCTTACAATGATAGAAAATTCTACACAGTTCAATTACAGAGGAAAAATAATCTAAACTTGTCTGAATGCAATCCAAAAGTTTAATTCTATAAACTAGCAATGATACTTAAAAAGTGCAACTTTATCAAATCATTAATTCAAAATCCATAAACTGACAGCAGTACAAGAAGACATTAATCCATAATCCATAAGTCAAAATCCATAAACTGACAACAATGCATTGGTACAGCCCAAGTGCCATTAAAAGTAGCAACTTCTACTATAGGATGGGATGATGAACTAATTGTCCAGTCTCTGTAATAGTAAATGGGTACTAAGATACATACAATCAATGGAGTGGATACAACTTAGAAGGCAGGAAATGCACTTCCAGAACACCTAATAGACCAACCCCTCTACTACTAGGTTTGTCAACTCTTCTACTAGGTTGTCAACTCTCCTACTAGGTTGTCAACTCTCCTACTAGGTTGTCAACTCTCCTACTAGGTTGTCAACTCTTCTACTATGATGTCAACTCTCCTACTAGGTTTGTTGACTAGGTTTGTCAACTTATCAATTAGGTGTGTCAACTCGTCTACTAAGATTGTCAACTTTTTGACTGAAATGTCAACTTGTTGACTAGGATTGTCAACTTGTTGACTAGGATTGTCAACTTGTCGACTAGATTTGTCAACTCGTCTACTAGGATTGTCAACTTCTGGACTAGGATTGTCAACTTGTCTACAAGGTTTGTCAACTCTTTGACTAGGTTTTTCAACTCTTTGACTGGATTTGTTAACCGTCAATTAAGTTTGTCAACTCATCGACTAGGTTTGTCAACTCGTCTACTAGAATTGTCAACTTGGTATGTTGACTCGTCCACTAGATTTGTCAATTCGTCATAACTTTCTAAGTGTCTGTATAATTGATATGAGTTGTATGGTGTATTTAATATTGACAGTTATCTTAAAACACTTGTATGACAAGTTTGCTTATGAAGTGTCTTATGAACTGAATGACATTTCTATTTCCCAAGAGATCGGAAGGAAGAATTTACAACCAATGTTAATAAAGCAAGGGCTGAAAATAGATGTAAGCTAAGAAAGCCGAGACCATAATTAAATTCTTCATGAACTCTGCCATTTTCCATGAAAGGATTGATCTGAAAGGAATATAATAAAAATGAAGACTAGTGTCTATTTGTTGGTATTTTTGTCTATTAGTTTTACAACAGAAATAACAACCCCAACAGTCTGCTACATCAGCTTTACACCAAATATACCATTACAGAAATCAATATAGATTGAAAGAAGGAAATAAACTGAGAAATGGTTTGTTTTTGCGTGTTTTTTTTTCAGGTGTGAGGTCATTCATTTTCTTGATTTCTTGATTCCCTACAAATTATGTACATGTATCTACATATTAATATATGGATATTATATAGAGAAGTTTTAAGCTATAAGTTTATTGATATACCAGACAATCTTGAGCAGACTGTCTGCGGTTGTACATTGGGGAATGTGGTAAAGTAGTATACAATAGATATTGTCAAGGGATTAGGATATATATAATCTTCATAGTAAACTGACAACAATAGTTATAATATGATCAGTCATCTTTATTACATCGTCACCTCAGATACTGTATAATTGAGAATACAATACACATCTCTTCTTACTTGGATCTGGAATAATGATAATAATTATAATAATAATGATAATAATAATAATAACGATAAAAATAATAACGATAAAAATGATAATAATAATGATAATAATAATAATAACGATAAAAATAATAATAATGATAATAATAATAATAATAATGATGATGATGATGATGATGATGATGATGATGATGATGATGATAATGATGATGATAATGATAATGATAATAATAACGATAAAAATAATAATAATGATAATAATAATAATAATGATAATAATAATGATAATAATAATAATAATAATAATAATGATAATGATAATGATAATAATAATAATAATGATAATAATAATAATAATAATAACGATAAAAATAATAATGATAATAATAATAATAATAATAATAATAATAATAGTGATAATAATGATAATAATAATAATAATGATAATAATAATAATAATGATAATAATAATAATAATAATAATAATAATAATAATAATAATGATAATAATAATAATAATGATAATAATAATAATGATAATAATAATAATAATGATAATAATAATAATAATGATAATGATAATAATAATAATGATAATAATAATAATAATGATAATAATAATGATAATGATAATAATAATAATGATAATAATAATAATAATGATAATAATGATAATGATAATAATAATAATGATAATAATAATAATAATGATAATAATAATAATAATAATAATAATGATAATAATAATAATGATAATAATAATAATAATGATAATAATAATGATAATGATAATAATAATAATG